GGACTATTAAAGGAAACTTGGCGGAGAAAAGACACTACTTAATAATAAATAATGAATGTAAATGGTCTCAGCTCCCCAGGTAAAAGACAAAGACTGACTGAATGGATTGAAAAAGAAAATGCATCTATTTGCTGCCTAAAGAAACACACCTTACCAACAAAGATGAGCCCAGACTGAAAGTTAAAGGATAGAAAAAGATAATCCATGCTAAAAGAAACCAAAAAAGAGCTGGTGTGGCCATGTAACTACAGACTCCACAGAAATAAAAAGAATCATCATAAACTACCACAAAGAAATGTATGCCAACCAACTGAATCTTTGAAAAAAGGGATAGATTCCTGGACACATAAAACCCACCTAAATTGAGCCATTAAGACATAGAAAACCTAAACAGACCCAGTACCAAGACAGAAATTGAATCAGTAATAAAGATCCTCCTAACAAAGAAAAGCCCAGGATCTGAATTATACCAAACATTTAAAGAATTAACACCAATTCTCAAGTTATTCAAAACAATTTAAAAGGAGGGAATCTTCCCAAATTCTAGATTTCTAGGAAGCCAGCATCACTTTAATTCCTAAACCCAGAAAAGACTCAACAGAGAAACAAACCAATTTCTCTGATGAATGAAGACAAAATCCTCAACAAAATGCTGGCCAATAGAATCCAACACCACATCAAAAATATCATTCACCTGGACCAAGTGGGATTTATCACTGGTATGTAGGGTTGGTTCAATATTTGCAAATAAATCAATGTGATACATCACATTAACAAACTGTAGAACTAAAACCATATGATTATCTCAATAGATGCAGAGAAAGCATTTGACAAAATACAACCGCTTTTCATGATGAAAACTCTAGGAAAATTGGGTTAAGAAGGAACATTCCTCAACACAATCAAGGTAATTTATGACAAATCCACAGCCAGCATCCTGTTGAATGGAGGGAAAATTGGAAGCATTCCCACTGAGATCCGGTACCAGACAGGGATGCCCATTCTAAACACTGCTGTTCAATATAGCCCTGGAAGTTTTAGTCGGAGCCATTAGTCAAGAAAAAGAAATCAAAAGGATACAAATTGGGAAGGAAGAAGTCAAACTATCCCTATTTGCAGATCACATGATACTATATATAGGGGATCTGAAAGACTCCACTAAGAGGTGCTTGAATTTCATAGAAGAGTTCGGTAAATAGCAGGATATAAAATATCAACAGCCTTTGTATATACAGACAATGCCACGGCTGAGAAAGAACTTCTAAGATCAATCTCAGCTACCAGAAAATTCAAATACGTTGGAATAAATCTACTCAAGGGCATCAAAGATCACTACAATGAGAATTACAAAACATTAAAGAAAGAAACAGATGAAGACACAAAAAATGGAAAAAATCTGCTATGTTCATGGATTGGAAGAATCTGTATCATCAAAATGCCCATTCTTCTGAAAGCAATTTACAGATTCAATGTGATACCAAGACATTCTTTTCAGATCCAGAAAAAATGATGTTGAAATTCATATGGAGGCACAGGAGACCCAAAATAGCTAAAGCAATCTTATACAACAAAAACAGAGTCAGAAACATCACAATACTAGATTTCAAGACATACCACAGGGCAGTTATAATCAAAACAGCCTGGTACTGGTACAAAAATAGATGCATGGACCAATGGAACAGAATAGAAACCCCAGAAATCATTCCAAATATCTATAACCAACTTATATTTGACCAAGGAGCTAAAACCAATCCCTGGAATAAGGACAGTCTCTCCAACAAATGGTGCTAAGAAAATTGGATGTCCACATGCAGATGTACTAAGCAAGACCACTACCTTACACCTTTCACAAAATTCCACTCAACATGGATTAAAGATCTAAATATATGACACAATACTCTCAAATTAATCGAGAACATTGGAGAAAGCCTGCAAGACACTGGCACAGGTAAAAAATCCCTGGAAAAGACCCCAGAGGCACAGGTAGTCAAAGACAAAATTAATAAATGGGATTACTTCAAATTAAGAAGCCATGTATGCCAAAAGAAATAGTCAGGAAAGTGAAGAGGCAACCGACATAATGGAAGAAATTATTTGCAATCTACACAACTGATAAAGGATTAATAACCAGAATCTACAATGAGATTAGGAAAGTCTACAACAAAACAAACAACCCAGTTAAGAGATGGGCCAAGGACTAAAACAAACATTTTTCAAAAGAGGAAATCCAAATGGCCGATAGACACAAGAAAAAAATGTTCAGGATTACTCACTAGCAGTCAGGGAAATGCCAATCAAAACCACAATGAAGTTTCACCTCAACCCCTTTAGAATGGCTCTCATACAGAAATCAACAAATGCTGGAGAGGATGGGGTGAAAATGTACCCTAATCCACTGTTAGTTGGAACGTAAACTGGTAAAGTCACCACAGAGATAGTATGGACATACCTCCAAAATCTAAATATAGACCTACTGTATGACCCGGCCAGCCCATTTCTGGGAATTTACCCAAGGGAAATGAAATCAGTCAACAAAAGAGCTATCTGCACCTCCATGTTTATAGCAGCTCAATTCACAATAGCTAAGACATAGAATCAACCTAAATGCCCATCAAATGAAGACTGGATAAAGAAATTATGGGATATGTACATTATGGAATACTACACAGTAGTTAAAAAAAAATGAAATCTGGTCATTTGCAACAAAATGGAGCAATCCGGAAAACTTCATACTCAGTGAAACAAGCCAGTCCCAAAGGGACAAATACTATATGTTCTCCCTGATCTGTGAGAACTAATAGCACACCTAAAACAAAAACTATAAAAGTGAAATTGACAGTTTGAGAAGCAATGACTTGAACAGCCCTCTTCTTGACTGTTGGGGAAGAGTTTTTTATTTTTTAATTTTATTTATTTTTCTCCATACTATATGTTGAACTCTTTACTTAGAGTTAATCATATGTATATAAAGTCAACTGAAAATAGATCTCAGTAAAAAAATAAGGGGGAATAAGGGGAGGAGAGGAAGCTTATAACTGTAAAGCTGTATAGTTCTGCATACATTCTTCCAGACTTATTTCTAAGGGTACAGTTAAAAACCTGTCATGGGACTCCAAATCCCATTAAAACTGGTGATAAAAATGCTATCTTAATTGTTAAAGTGATCATATTAAGAGATTTATATTAAGATATATTATTATTATTATATATCATATTATAGATAGGATTAAGTGTTAAAGAGATCATACAAATAGCATCAAATGTCTGGTAATAATAGAATTAAAAAGGAGGGAATGTCCAACATCAAAGTAGTCCACACAGCTGACTCATAGAATGACAATCACTTTAAGTAACATTCTGACCTCAGAGTCAGCCCTTAAGGCATTCAGATGAGGCTGAAATGCCCATGAGAGCATTTCAGACATGGAATGCCAAGACACTATGGCAAAAAATATCCTACTTGAAGGATCACTGTGAGACCTCAGTGGGAAGAAGGGGCCATTAAAGGAGGATATACTTTTCTCTGAAGGGAGGAGAGGAGAGTACTTGCACTTTGCTTATGGTCTTGTCTCAATACTGATGGAGTTTGTGGTCACAAAAGGCTTCTATAGCCTTGGCAGTTCATGGCAAGAGCCACGAGTGATAACTGATGTCCTAAATAAGAGTGTTAATTGTTAAATTAACAACAGAAGTCACTGTGCCCTTATTCCACATGTAGGTCCTCTGATCTTAATGAGCTGTACTATGAGAATTAACTGCAAAATTTGTTCTCAAACAGTACTTTATACAATGTGTGTGTGTGGGGGTAAAAACTGTTGAAATCTTTACATAGTACAGAGATGGTCTTCTGTATGTAAATTTAGTTAGAAATGAATCTTAATGAAGAACAGGATGGGAGAGGGAGTAGGAGGTGGCATGGGAGTGGAGGTGGGAATGTAAAGTGGTACAATCATTTTGGAAAACAGGTGGAAATTCCTTTAAAAATTGACCACACACCTACCACATAATCCACTCATTCAATTGCTAGTCTTATCCTAGAAAAATGAAAGCATAACTCATGTGTTTTACTAAAAGTTCTCTTTTGTTGAAATTATTCTAAATTAGTCATCCAAAGAACACTGCTAGAAGGATGTTGGCTCAATAATGTGGCTTTCAATGGGATTTGAAGACACAAAAGCATGGATTGAATAACCACCAATTTTCTCACAATCCAGATCCCAGTGTATTCTAATGCTGTTTCTGTAAATATTCCTTTATTCATGTCTCCCCTTCTTTTTCCTTTCTAATTGTTCAGCACAAATTATAGGTTGTGCTACATATTTAATACTTACTTTCATGTTGCTTTGCATTAAACCCTATGGTTTCAGGTGTAATTTGGTTTTCCAAGAGATTATAGCATTATGCTATATACATCCTAGTAGATAATTCAAAGGCAAATTCTTTAGGAAGTGTATATATACTTTGCCATTTATAATATTTATTTTGGTAATTATCTTCTTATTCATGATTTTATTCAAAACCTATTTTCCTATTTTTTAAAAGATTTATTTATGTATTTAAAAGGCAGAGTTACAGAGAGAGGAGAGACTGACTTCCATTTCACTCCTCAAATGGTAACAACAACCGGGGATGGGCCAGGAGCTTCATCTGGGTCTCTCACGTGTGTACAGGGGCCAAGAACTTGGGGCATCTTCCACTGCTTTCCGATGCTTATTAGCAGGGAGCTGGATCAGAAGTAGAGCAGCCAGGACTCAAACTGGTGCCCATATGGGATCCAGCATTGTAGATGGAAGTTTTACCCACCATGATACACTACCAGCTTCTATTTTTCTAATCTTTAAAATCAGGAGAATACTGCAGAGTTCAGTAGGGAATTAAAAAAATAAAATTCCCATGATGTTAATCCCAATGACAGCTTTCATAAACTTTGAAATATTGTAATATTATAATTTAAGAAAATTGTATTTTCTAAAGAAATCATATTAAATACATAAACTCACATGTACTATGGAAATAAATGCTTCTGATATGCCAAGTTCTTCTGCAATGTAATTAAAAGCTCGCCAAAGAGCAACTCCAGCATCATTTGTTCCATCAACTATATCATCAGTATTAAGAATGAACACAAAACCAATTCTGGGAAAAGAAGACAAAGAACGAATATTACAAATACCTCTAGAACCCAATATATCATTATTTTCACATATTATTAGACTACAACATTTAGATGAGAAGAATATATTTAATAAATGAGGAAAAGGGGACATTATTTGAAAACTTTCATTATAATCCCTATTCACTAAAATCTTCAGAACTACTAAATTCCTGCAAGATATCAAACATTCTCTCTGGTGATGACATTACCAATTGTCCATATTCCCCAGAAAAAAAAGGTCAACTGCATTTATTCTTAATAAAATAAGAAAGAAATGGATCCTACTATTGGTTCTCAGGGTCAACAGATGTTTCCCTCAGAAACTAACAGGAGAAACAAGATTATCAGACAGCTCCAACAGTCCATCATAAAGGTAGATGATACTTCATTACATATAGCTATATCACATCAAGCATTGCAGCTATACTCCACATTAGTATTCTATGTCCACAATGTGAACATCACTGAATTTCCTTCAGTTGACAGTTTAGTAATATATGCTGACAATTACCTAAGAGGTGCTTTATGAACATAGAAAAATTCAGCAAGTTTTATAAAATCCAATGTATATTCTTGAGCAGGATCAATAAACAGAACCTAAAAGAAAGATAGTACATTATCACTATTTTAACACCTCACAATTTTCATGAAATTCATAGTTAGTCTAATTTCTATAACAATAAGAAATTCAAGGTCTTTTCATTTGATTATTGTATGTAGCCCTTGCCTACTTTCTTGCTGGACTACGGTCTTTTTACTTTATTGTTGAACTCTTTAATAGTGCTATTAAGTTTTTGACAATAATGTAAATTTAAAATGTTATCTAAAAAATAAGAAATTTCTTGTAATTCAATAGAATTTTGAGTAATATATAAATAAAAGAAATAATTTAACAATTTATGAAGGAGTTCTAAAAGCCACATATCCAAACAGAGTTGTACATAAAATTTAACATTACTCATCTTCTTTTTGAAAGCATGGCATAAAGTCTGCTTTCACACAAGAAAAACACCTTACTCTAAACATTACCTGAATTTTCGGTGATAAATTTTTTCAATAAGAAAATAAATTGAATTTTTCCCAAAAAATAGCATTAACATAGTGCTTCCTCAAGATTCTTGCAGGAAAAAAAGATATTTTCTTCCTACGTGAAAAAAAGGGAAATCCCTAGCTATTTTCTCCACATTTCCAAGTAATAATAATGTTGCTTAGATACTTAATATTATAATAATGAAATTATATGCATAGTTGACAAAGTGGTATTTATGCATTTTTCCCTGAAATGTACTAAAATTTAATCATCTGTTCTTTATAACGCAGAATGAAGAAAATACTATTATACATTCCTTTGAGACAATGTAAAAATGTTCCACCAATTTATTATTGGTATTATAAAATTACATGAGGACTGAATAAAAAGAAATAGATTATGTGAAATCATTAGCTTTTGTTACCCAGTCAGCAATGCCATCTCTATCTTCTTGCATTGGGAGTTCTAATTCCTTACAACTCAGATTCTTAACCCATCAACACAAGATAATCCAAAAAGGAGAGCAGATACTTTATAAAAGGAGTATATAATAATGAAATATAAAACTCACCAAATTATGAAAATTGCGCCTTATAAAAGGCACACTTCCAGGAAATCCTGGTTTCAGAAATTCTTCACAACTTGTAGGCCATGTTACATACAAACCATCATTTTCTAAGTCATTTATCCACTAGAAAAGAATCCAGATATCTGTGAAAGCTACATTAACACATAAATCGTTTTCAGAGCCATATTTTCCCTGTATCAAATGACAATGAGAAGACACAACACAGTATTTTCTATGTTTTTGATTAAATATAGAAAACCAGTTTTATAATCTATAAGAAAGTTGACACGCTAAAAATTTTATACTTCCATTGACTTTTACATTAAGTGTTGGCACACAATTTATTCTTTTTATTGATGTGTTTTTCATGTTACAAAATAAAAACACCCAAGAATCACTCTCCATAAACCACTTTAGATGAGTGTTTATCTTAACTAAACATAGTAAATGAGGCCCTCCACCTTCCTTCCCAATTTAAAGGCTTGGCCACAGAAAAATATAATGGCTCATAAAAATTAAGTTATAAAACCACTATCTTAGATATTCAGTTCTTATCAAGATGGAATAACTTATAAAGACTACCTCTCCTGTATGACAGACTACAAAAGCTGGAGAACATTTATACCTTGTTGTTTAGCGACATGTGATAGAGGCAGCAACCAACAATGAAGAACTGAGGAGTTCTAATCCTCAGCAGCTAGAAGCATTAGAGGCATGCTACATATTCACCTCAACTCTGTCTAGGCACATTTTCCAAACTGCATCCTGGAGGAACACTTACAGATTCCAAACCGAAAGTGAAAGCCATATTGTGTTACAACTCCTTGTTCCCAAACTCACTAGTAGCCTTGGAAATAACAATTTGAACTCCCAACAATAATGAAGGAAGAAAGAATTTTAACTCAGAGAACTTCCGTTGTTTCGAACTATTTGATGATACCCAAAAAAACTCCCTCAGAAGGTTTTCTTCATCTTGGCTAAGCTGTACTTGCCTAGTGTCAATAGCAACAGTATTTAAAAGGAGATGTTTTAAAAATTAAACTTTATTTACAAAGTATATGCATGTCACCTAGCTACTGAATTTTCTTAACTATCAATGTTTTAAAATAATTCCAGTTGGTGTAGGATGATTCTTAGTAGGGTGATTCTTAGTTTCTAAGTAAACTGACTTAAGTACGATTAAAATAATAAATAATTGCCTGTTATATTTTAGGCATAGTTTTGTTTCAGGGGAAAGATTATATCATGGGCCAAAATCAAGTGCAATAAAAGGGAGATTCTAGTAGTATGCCCGGAAATTGTACCAAAAGGATTTAAGATTCATGGGACATACACAATATATACTGTATTCACCAGCAACAGGTGTCGCTCCCCCTCTTCGTGGAGGAACGACACTAAACCCTGCCTAGGCTTCCTATCCGAGTCACGGCACCATTACGTCGCTCCCCCTCTTCGTGGAGGAACGACACAGGACCCTGCGCTGTTCTTTCGTCTGCTCGGCCCTCCCCGGGTTTGCTGCTGGTTCTTCCCGGGTTGGCTACTATCCCTTCCACCTCGGTGGAAGGGCAGTTCCCCCTGGCCACATTCCCCACTTCCGCAGGGGAGCGGCACACCGCCGGCCAGCTCTTCTCGGGGGCTGCACAGGTGTTCCTTCAGCTAGATGTTCCCCTTAGATGTTCCCGGTGCATGCCGTCTCTCTCCTCCTTTATAGTCCTCCTCCGCCAATCCCAACTCGGCTGCCCACACGCCGAGTACGCTGCTCTCCAATCAGGAGCAAGTCCTACAGTTTATTGGTTGAACTGGAGGCAGCTGTGCGGAAGCTGTTTACTTCTCTCCCAGCGCCATATTGTGGGAGAGCAGATGCATAGAATAAGTCTTAATTCCAGTAACTCAGTCCAGTCCGGGCTGCTCCCCACAAACAGGGCAAAAAGGAGATCATGAAATAATTTCTCATGTAAGATAGGGGTACATGAGAAAAACTCCTCAGAAGGCTGAAGCCTAGCCCCCCGTGTATAAGTAGGCTCTGTCTTGTTCCAAAGTAGAGTGAGGGTGAGAATTTGGTAGCCTTTTCTTTGGAAAGGGCAATTCGAAATACATTCCCAAGGGAGTTGGGATTTCCACAGTCTTCAAGTAAGTAGTGCTGTTTTTCCTAACAGAAGTGCATCTGAATAGGCAGAATGCGGCCATGATGTGCTTGAGGCCTTTGTCTTTTAATTAAACTTGTTTCTAACTGACTTGATTAAAGTTGTGGTAAAAGCGTTCCCAAGGTCAGAAGAAGAAAAAGGAAGGATCCTGCCCTGGGAATGAAACATGATTATCTGCCTATGAATGCTTTAACTGTAGTTACTATCTGCTTAAAGGTTCTGCTTGCTAGTACAGAGCAATGGTGTTAATCCTTGCCAGACAGCTTACAGCTCTATATGTGTGTGGAAAAAAAAAAATCAAGGTATGAATGCATGGTATTTATCAATTCCTGTGGTTGCCAAGTAACATTAGGATATCCAATCAAATGTATGTATTTAACCATATAAGGGAAGCAAGAAGCTAAACCATATATAAGAAAATACCCCTTTTTGTTCAGGGCTTAGACTTTTCATATAAAATTCCACCTGGGTTTTATGCCAGCATAAGTAATAAAAGACTACCTCCTGTTAAAGGCTGTGGTGTCTTGTCTCTGTACACGAATCCTGCTACAGTGAACTACAGTGCAGCTAAACACAAGCAATATAGGTTATTGTTAGACCATGAGTTAAGTAGAAAACTTGAGATTACACATTCAGTAATTTACAGTGATTTCCAATCACCAAAATATCTCACTGATCATGGTATAATGCAGTTTAGGGCATGCTTGGCTTCTGTGGCTGTCACATGTAGTACAAGATACAGATTCATCATTGCAGCAGGGCAACACATCGGTTGGCAACAGAGTAGAAAAAATGCCGAATCTTCCCTATGTGTAAGTTTGAGAAGTAACATTCTAGCAGTTGGTGAGGGCCATCTCCAACAAAGCAGGGGCAGCTAACTAAAAAAAAAAAAAACAAGATAAGAGTTGGAGAACTCAGAGGGCTTCCATAGCCTTGGAAACTCATGACTGGAGCATAGGGAGATTACTGATGCCATAGACAGGAGTGTCAATTGGTAAAGTCAACAACAGGAGTCACTGTGCACTTACTCCTCATGTAGGAGGATCTCTGTCCTTAATGTGCTGTGCATTGAGATTTAATGCTATAACGAGTACTCAAACAATATATTTCACTTTGTGTTTCTATGGGGGTGCAAACTGTTGAAATCTTTACTTAATGCATACTAAACTGATCTTCTGTAAAAAAAAAAAAAAGAAATTATCAATTCCCAACTTGACTCTCACTGGGATTAAACATGACAATAGGTCTGATCTGATTTCATCATCATTTAAAAAAAATCATCTATTATTTTTCACTTTATGTTTCTGTGTATACTTAATGTATACTAAGCTGATCTTCTGTATATTAAGATAATCGAAAATGAATCTTGATGTGAATGGAAGGGGAGAGGGAGTGGGAAAGGGGAGGGTTGTGGGTGGGACGGTATTGGGGGTAAGCCATTGTAATCCATAAGTCGTACTTTGGAAATTTATATTCATTAAATAAAAGTTTAAAAAAAAAGGAAGGAAGGAAGGAAGAAAAGAAAAATGAAAGGAAATGCAGCAAAGGAGGTGGAGGATAGAAATGATGGTCTCTGACAGCACTGAGGTCTAAGATGAAAACATAATCCCTTGTCACTGTGTTAAGATTTTGGAGGCTGGCACTGCAGCTCACTAGGTTAATCCTCCACCTGCGGCACCGGTACTCCGGGTTATAGTCCCGGTTGGGGCTCAGGATTCGGTCCCGCTTGCTCCTCTTCCAGTCCAGCTCTTTGCTGTGGCCCAGGAAGGCAGTGGAGGATGGCCCAAGTGCTTGGGCCCTGCACCCACATGGGAAACCAGGAGAAAGCACCTGCCTCCTGCCTTCGGATGCGCCAGCCATAGTGGCCATCTGGGGGGTGAACCAATGGAAGGAAGACCTTTCTCTCTCTCTCTCTCATTGTCTAACTCTGCCTCTCAAAAAAAAAAAAATTTGGCAAAACCACATTTGCATGTATGGATCTTACTGGAACATATTTATTACGCTACCAAAAAAAAGTGAGCTTGTGAGTTTTTTCCGCTCTATGTATATAATTACAAAATCTAGTATGTTTTAATTCACATCAAATTTTATTATTGCTACAAAGTCTATTCTTTGTAACTAAAACTTGCCAAATTCCTTAGTCCATGGAAACAAAAACCAAGAGATTAGTCAAAACTGTTTATAATTTGAGAGTAAATGTATGAAGGAAAATCTAAATGCAATGAAACTATATGAAACCATAAAATACACTATGATCCTAATGTTCTGTGTTTTATAGGGAGACTTGTATGGAATTCAGTGTTATGAAAATATGCACTTGAATTACATTTGAACCTAAGTCTTTATTTTTTTTTTTATTTGACAGGTAGAGATATAGACAGTGAGAGAGAGACAGAAAGATCTTCCTTCCACTGGTTCACTCCCCAAATGGCCACTACAAATAGTGCTGAGCAGATCCGAAGCCAGGAGCCAGGTGCTTCTTCCTGGTCTCCCATGAGGGTGTAGGGCCCAAGCACTTGGACCATCCTCCACTGCCCTCTCGGGCCACAGAAGAAAGCTGGACTGGAAGAGGAGTAAGCGGGATTAGAACCCGGTGCCCATATGGGATGCCAGCAATGCAGGCAGAGGATTAACCAAGTGAGCCATGGAGCCAGCCATGAACCCAAGTCTTAAAATCTATGTTTTTATTATGGGAGAGCGGCAAGATGGTGGAATAGGAAGGGAGCACACTGATAGTCCGGGGAGAGACAGTTTAATAAAAGTGGAGATACTGCAGGTTCAGGAGGAGTAGGGGAAGAAACAGCAAAGGAAACTCATCCAGAACTAGTGATTCACAGTGGAGCTGCTTGGAGAGCATGGGAGCCCAGAGTTCAGGACACCAGTGGCAGAATAAACACACCAGCGCTGGAACGCGAGGTGAGCTGAACCTCAATAGCTCGAGACACCGGTGGGCAAGCAGAAAGAGGAGACTAGAGGGAA